CTCTCTTCAGACTTCGGATAATCCTATAATATGCCAGCGCAACTTGTCTATCTCTTCTTCCAGCTCCACGATCTTCTCGTCAGTCCTCAGGGTGCGTGCGTTGTACGTTGCCAGGTCGAGTCGTCTAAGGTGGCAACCGAACCTCCACCGGAGATTCTTAGCACCCCCTGCCCCGCCGTTACCATGGTCGCCACCGTAGCCAGGAATAGCGGGGCCGCCGGGGACTGGGGGCCGTCTGTTTGTTGCTTTTGTCATTTATACTATGGGATGTAATATATATTACATTTCAGTATAAACGGTTCCATTAAAAAGTACCGTGAGCGATATTAGTTTATATCTGGAGATATGATATATGTCGGCACCTGCACCGTTGTAGATGCGGTGGCGTCGGTCTAGCTAGACAGAATTCTTGTAAACTACACGTGTACCGCACACCTGCGGCACGCACCTGCGTTGCCGCCCGTCCTGCTTGTATAAAACGGACGGAGCGGCCGTCTTTAAGTCAGTCTTGGCTCTGACGTGGAACGGTGCGCTTGTCGTATTCCGTTACTAGTTTATCCTCGACTCGTTGGATAATTAATTCGTGTAAACGAATTAATTATTATTCCTAACTACAAAATTAGTCTCTGTACTATACTCAATTACCCTTCCTACATCAGAAGTGAGATAAAGTCCCCCTTATTGCCCACATATAATCTTCGAATAGTATGAGAATTATTACATTTGTAAAGGCTATAATGCATTTCGCATTAATGGATCTCTTATGTTAAATACCGTAATAAAATTTGCTGTCCTACTTACGATATTGTCGTATCATTAAAGTGTAGAGAAAAGATAAAGTGAAATTATGTAAGCCAAAAGATAAATCCTTTTGTTCGATTTGTATTAAAAGTACCCTCAAGTATTTTCATTATTTCTGACGTACCTAAATATGTTAACAAATGAAAGAAATGTTGGAGATATTCTGAATGAGTTATAGTTTGCATTCAGTGGAAGTTTAACTTGCTCAAGTAATGATATAATATAGTTTGCATTCAGTGGAAGTTTAACTTGCTCAAGTAATGATATATATTATAGTCCAAGGTATGAGAACGTATTTCTGTTTTAGGGCCTCGTATGTGTGATAGATGAGAGGACAGGCAACTGTGTATGTTGTCCTTATAGTTAACAATTTGTTTTTCACGCAGATCATGATGACTACAACCCCGACGATGCTTGTAAACCCTCAGGTGCTCCTGCTGCTCTCGTTTTGTTGTAATTTGATAGTTCACGCGAAACATGATTATCATTTGCTATATTTTGAAGTTCAAAACTTTTAAGGGTTGTACTACAATAAAGGATTAACTTTAACACGCTATGAATTAAAAATAATAAGTGACATTTTTGTGTTCTAATGTGTTGATCAGTGTTGCAGTTTGCTCCGAATACTGTGTGGTCGACAAGATGGGGTTTGATGTCGAGAGATTCGTAGAAGTCTCCACAACAATGATCAATGAGGAAGATGTTGTGACGGCTAATCGAACATGGTCAGGTACGGCCGAGCGCTAATAAGATTGAGCCTACATCGCTAAAGTCTGGAACTTATCGGCAGATCTTACGGCAAGGCAATTCAAGCGGCCGCCGAACACATCGTCCTTTGGTGCTGGAAATGAACGTCTGAGGCTTGGTCGGCTTTCGTAAATTTTGCGCAGTTGCCTCCTTCCCTTTGAAATATGTGATGGTATCCGTCTCTACACATAGTTTCCGTTTTGTGTGATGAATTTTGGAAGCTCGGAATTCCATGGTTCGCAATACATTTATCTCGATTTCTTTTAATTTTGCAAAGCAGTGTGACGATTCGCTAGCGCTAGTACGGCGCGACTGCTTGCTGGCGCGAATGTGGCACGAACGCAGCAGAACGAAAAGCTGTAGTGCGTTTGTCTGGAGGTAGCCATATCGGCGCGTTCCAGACTTAAATGAAGTTTGGGATGTTCGACCGTTGTAATATTTAACAAGAGATAATATCTGTTAGCAGGTGGTGATAACTGATAGACCGTATGCTGTTCACTGTCAACCGCACGAGGACGTGCGACAGTCAGAAGTAGCAGTGTCTGTGCATCTAGAAAATACTAGAGACGTTGCAATACTCTAGCGAAGTAATTATTCTAGTGCAGGAAAGGAACATGAAGTTGCAGGGAGGCTGGTCTGTGCTGCACTGGGATATGTGTCGAGTTGCTGCTGGTTTACATACTTAGGTGTTATCGTGTCACTACGCCCCTCATGATACACTTTTGTGTGATTGTAACGGAGACATGTTTGCGGTATGGTTGGTCTGTAACTGTTCTATACTGAATTGAAAAAAAAAAAGAGAGTAAGAAAAAAAATGTGGTTCTTACTATCATTGCAGGGCGTTTGCCGGTCCAATGATATAGCTAAAGGGAATAGTGATTCCGGACTAGCATAAATAGTACTTGAAAAAAAAAAGCGTAAGAAAAAAAATAGTTCTTACTATCATTGCAGGGCTTTGTGCCGGTCCAATGATATGGCTATAGGGAATAGTTATTCCGGACTAGCGAAAACAGTACTTGAAAAAAAAAAAAGAGAAAATAGAAAAAGCTACAGACTAATCATTCCGATCTAGCATAAAGTTGATACAAGTTTTGTAGGGCTTAGTGCCGGAACAAAACTGATTATCACCAGAGTCTGAAGGGTCAGTATAGACCGGACCAGACGCTGTTTTGTCAGGATAATCGAACGATGTTTTACAGATTACAGTTGTTACAGATAACTAAAGTTGTGATGGAGCGCGTGCGAGGACGCACGCATGTCAGTATGTCCGTGTCGGCACCTGCACTGTTGTAGATGCGGTGGCGTCGGTCTAGCTAGACAGAATTCTTGTAAACTACACGTGTACCGCACACCTGCGGCACGCACCTGCGTTGCCGCCCGTCCTGCTTGTATAAAACGGACGGAGCGGCCGTCTTTAAGTCAGTCTTGGCTCTGACGTGGAACGGTGCGCTTGTCGTATTCCGTTACTAGTTTATCTTCGACTCGTTGGATAATTAATTCGTGTAAACGAATTAATTATTATTCCTAACTACAAAATTAGTCTCTGTACTATACTCAATTACCCTTCCTACATATATATTACATTATATCCCGTAGTGAAAAGCGGACTTAATAGCCACTAGCCAGGCAAAAAGGAAAAATATTTTTTGTGGCATTGACTACAAGGATTTAAGTCTCCAGTATTATATTAGTCTACTCTGGATTTAAGCCAAAAAGTTGTTAAAATGCTTGCTATTATAAATTTTACTCTTTATAACATAGTAATATTAATTATTCTGTGATAATAATACAATAAGATGATAAAAAATCAGAACATGCAAAAAATGTAAAATGGCAAGTTTAACGCTTAAATAAGAGGTTCTTTTTCAGGAAATCCTTGGAAAAAGATAAATTTTGCATACGTCAAGATAACTCTAAGTCCAGACCATTTAGAAAGTTTAAATCCGCTACAACAAATGGTAAAACGTAATGTTTCCTTTTATAAATAAACTCATCCATGCCCATAACAGGTAAATTATAATTTATTGTTGATTATTTAAGACCACTCGTCCAATTTCCTGGTATGTATACGCTTTGAAACAAAAAAAAAATAATTTTCCAGATCAAATCAGGCGTATTCGAGTAATCGGTTAACGTACATAAAAAAAAAACAAATTAATATTCCGACGAATTGTAAACCTCCTCCCTTTTGAAGTCGGTTGATTACCTGTAAAAGATTGTACCTACACATTTAGTAAACGATTCAATAACCAACATGCCTAAGTTTGAATAATCATTTTACGAAATTACTTTCAATATACGAGGAAAATTTCGGGATTCAAGGAAGTGACACAACATTACTATTTAAAAATGTATTTATTGCTTTTCGAAGTGTTCTCCGCGAAATTTGACACATTTTTCCATACGATGGAACCAATCATTGAAGCAATCATTCCATTCGGAAGTTGGGGTCTCCAAAATGGCCGTTTTGTAGGCGTCCACAGCTTTTTCATGTGATGAAAATCTCTGTCCACGCAATTTATTCTTTATTTTAGGGAAAGTATAGAAATCATTAGGGCTTAGGTCGGGGCTGTACGGCGGATGGTCTAATAATTCTATGTTTTCTTGCTCTAAAAACTCTTTTGTTCTGGGTGCGGTGTGAGAACTCGCATTGTCGTGATGGAGGATGATGCGGCGGTTGCAGTTCTCTTTACGGAGTTCAGAAACGACCTGTGGCAAACAAATGCTAGCATACCATTCTGCATTAACCGTTCTTTGTCCCTCAAGAGGAATAGTCGTAACATGGCCGGTTTTGGAGACAAACGTGGCCACCATATTTTTTTTGCAACACTCCGTGAACGAACAATTTTTGTGGCTTTAACTCATTTTCGAACACCCAAACTCGTGACTGGTTTTTTGTTTCGGGTTCGTACGCGTATATCCAGGATTTGTCACCTGATACGATGTTGTATACAACATTTGAGGATCCTGTGTGGAATCTTTCGAGAGTTCTGACGCACCAAGTAACGCGAGCCGCTTTTTGCTCTACACAGAGCGAATGCGGTATCCATCGGGAAAACAACTTTTTTACACCTAATTGTTCATGCAAGATTATTTGTATTTGACTCATGCCAATGTCTAAAGTTGCCTGAATTTCGCGGTATGTCACATGTCGATCTTCCTCAATCAGCTTACGCACAGCATCAACGTTTTCTTGTGTGACTGCAGTTTTTGGACGACCTTGACGGGGATCATCACTGAGCTTGACACGTCCACGTTGAAATTCAGCAAACCAGCGATAAATTGTGGTTTTGGATGGGGCTTCATCACCAAATGCAGAAATCATCAACACTGTTTTTGTGTTAAACTGAGTCGCGGGTTCCTTCCATCCGCCACCCGGAAGGACGCGCCTGGTAGGGTGGCCCCCCCAGGATCGTAAGTAACAAGACAGTTAACAAATTTATTAAAACAAATTACATGGCATTAACTGATATTTCATTTACTATGAATTCCTTTTGTCTTGTTACCAAAAATATGTGATAAACACAACTGACCGCCACGCAAAACTTTGTAAGGTTATGATATAGACAAGAAAATAAACTCACGAGACCAAGAGGACCAATTTTAGGAGCCAACGACGAGGTAGCACCAACTTCTCCGCCAACACATCTCAAGTTAACTAGAGAAACAAATATAAATTTTTAAATCACTTCTAAATAATCGCACATAATTTACCAAAATTAACGCACGATACTCGTCTTACCGATTTTAATTTCGTTTGGATCGAACTTAGGCGGCATTGTCAAATGATATTACGAATTTATCACTTATATTTAAAATAAATCCAAGTAGATTACTTCGGATTTAAAAAGCGAGTCTGAAAACGTTCTGTAAACGCTGACAGCCTCGCTAGAAAAGAAAAAATAAAAAATCACAGAGCACGAAGCAATAACCACATCACACAGACTAATATGATGCCATGTTGCCATGTACATATGATGCAGCCAAGGAGGTTATAATATAATCATGGAGTATAGAGTACTCCATGAATATAATATAGGGAGTGTGCGCCACAGAACACTAATACCCTTAGGTGTGCGCTTGGAACGTTGTAACCATTCCTCAATTTTCTTAGAAAGAGAGGCACCGAGTTTGGTATTTTATCTCCTTCTAACATTGATAAATGCTTCCACAAAATAAAAACATTACCAACGTTTAGACAATTATTGATTTAAAATAATATTTTAGACGTATGCTAGAACGATAATCTTACAATTTTATCGCTAATCATAGTTGGTATATTCCATACTGTATTTTAATTAAGCTTATTACTAAATAACACGAAAAAAAACCACTAAAACACTTTAATGAATGAAATTTAATGTCAAAAAAATTAATTCTAATGTAATTTTAAATGGAGAGAAACTGACTCTTGTAGATATCACCATTTTTCTTGGAATCACATTACATGCACAGCTTCGATGGAGCCACCATATATCAAAATTAGCAAGCAGACTTAATTCTGCAGCATATGCTGTAAAAAAGTTTAGAAGTCTTACCAGTGTCGAAACAGCTAGACTAGTTTACATTCTGTGTACTAAATATCGGGAATTTGTCAATAAAACAAAAAATTTAGCTCATTCAGCGAATTTTTTTATGGCTTCTATCGACTCAAAACGTTTTCCTCGAAGTGGTAATTTTAACTTGGGAAATTAAAAAAAGTCAGACGGAGCCATATCAGGTGAATACGGTGCTTGGTCGAGAACTTTTGTTGAATTTTTCGCTAAAAACTCTTTCACTATAATGGCTGTGTGTGATGGTGCATTATCATGGTGCAGCATCCATGAGTTGTGTTGCCACAAACCTGGACGTTTTCGGCGGATACTCTCACGCAAACGCTTCATGACGCCTAAATAATATTCTTTATTCACTGTTTCTCCCTTTGGAAGGAATTCGGAGTGAACCACACCACGGTAGTCAAAAAAAACTGTCAGCATCACCTTGATTTTGGAGCGACTTTGCTGCGGTTTTTTGGGTTTCGGCACGTTTTCGAGACGCCATTCTGAAGACTGTTGGCTTGTTTGCATGTCGTACTCATAAACCCATGTCTCGTCGCCAGTTATTATACGTTTCATAAAGGTCGGATCCGTAGAAGCTCGGGAAACCATGTCTTCAGCGACATGCTTTCGCTGCGCTCTTTGAACAAAATTGAGCTCTTTTGGAACTAGTCGAGCGGCGACGCGTTTCATGCCTAAAATGTCAATGAGAATGTTGTGGACGGACTTAAAAGATATGTTCACCTCACTAGCCAACTCTGTCAGACTCGACGTCGATTTTCGAGCACTAGCTTCTTGATTTTGTCGATGTTTTCTTTGGTTGTAGCGGTTGAAGGTCTAACAGAACGAGACAAGTCTACTACTACTTCTCGGCCTTCTTTAAAAGCCTTATACCATTCATAAGACCTTGTTTTCGATATACACGATTCGCCGTAGGTATTTCGCAACATTTTTAGTGATTCACCACATGAAATATCATTCGAAACACAAAATTTAAGGCACACTCTTTGTTAAACTATGACCAACAAAAAGTGTAGTTTAAAACAAATTAAATGACAGATCCCGCTCAAACATTGCGCGCTAAATCAGTACAGTGCTACCAACATGCAGTAAAAAAATTAGAACGACCTCTTTTACGCGGGTCTTTTTATTGACATATTCCCGATACTTTTTACACAGAGTTGTACTTTAGCTATTTCCATAAAATAATATAATGGTATTTTGCTATGGGGACACGCAGCTGACACTGAAATTATATTTGTTTTACAGAAGAGGACCATAAGAGCGATTTATGATTTAAAGCCTAAAGAGTCGCTGCGACAAAAATTTAAGGAAATTAATATATTAACTTTGGCTTCTCAATACATTTATGAAAATTTAATGTACCTACACAAAAATAAAAGTAGTTTTATAAAAATAACTGATATTCATTCTGTAAATACTAGGAACAGACACAAGCTAGTAGTACCAGTTACTCGACTCCATCGAGTCAGTAATTCATTCTTGGGGCGATGTATATGCCTTACATCAAAACTCCAGAAAATATACAAAATTTGATCTGCTGAAAGTTCAAAAACTTTAATAAACTAAGTTTGTATAAAAAAAAATTTTTATAATATTAAAGAATTAATGGATGATAATAACCTCTGGAAATGAGGTGATCACGACCAAGCTATTTCTAATTTGTTGTGGGGTTAATTTGTGAAACATATATGATTGTAAGCTGTTATTTAAAAAAACGTTCCTCTGGGTTTGTTGCTGGTTCTTCCCAGGACAGAGATTTTTTTCGAACCAGTGGTAATTAAACAAAAGAGTGACTTTCAATAAGTATTATTTATAATCTATATTGAATAAAAACTTTCTGTTTCTGTTACAGGAATGTTCTTCCCCTAAAAACTAGGAAGTGCATTTTACGCTATAGATGACAACGCTACTTTAAAATTTGACGTTGTCAAATGAATGAATATATAGTTTTTTTTTTTATAGAATAGGGTGATAAACGAGCACACAGTCCACCGGATGGTAAATGCTTGCTGTGGCCCATAGACATCTACATCTATCCTAGTTTGCGAATCAAAATGAAGATGCGTAGTCACCCGTGAGGACAAAGATGGAATGCCTTTTTTCCAGTAAAACGAGTTCTCTACACTCACCATACGAAATACATCAGTGTTAAGCTCCTATTTTACGCTGGTATTCTGTTAGTGCGTGGTCCTTCCCCGGTCGAGCCGACTCATTTATGCTACAACTATACTACTTATATAGCTGCAGCATGGCTCTACCATGTAGAAAACGCCTTGTGCTAATCATTCGCTAAATCTACGTGGAGCGCACTCACTTAGGGAGCGTTAATTCAAGTTTAACTTTTTTTCGGAACAGTAGAAAGAGTTTACAGGTTCTTTTCATCATCCACACGTCAATAGGAAACTTTAATAAAAAGTGTAGGCGTATCCGTCAAAACACTCTCAGAGACAAAATGAATTGCTCATCATGACGTTGTTAAACCACTGCAGAATAATTAAAAAAAAACTAGTATAAACACTCAAAGATATATATGATCCCAGCACCAACAGAGAAAACGTCTATATAAAAGAAGTAGTATCTACACTCTTACCAGCTTTGTGTGACTTCAGTTTTTTATGCCGTCTTTGCTTTTGGTGTAAAATCCTAATAGAAGTTAGTTAGACACAAAAGCAAATACTAAATAATATAATTATAATCTATATTATCACTGGACAAGTATGAGATAAAAATCCAAAGCCCAAAAATTTTTCTTCAAAGCCATTAAGAAAAGTTACGAATACAAATGAGTATACGCACTACACAAAAGTTCATTCAAATAATGACAGATGCAAACTTGTGGACGTAGCGGCGGCCCGGAACGGTGTGCTGGGTACAGGGGGCGAAATATAATATGAAAATATTGCTCAGTCGATCGGAAAAAATATTTATACTATCATTATCATCATCATCATTACAGCCCTTCACAAGTCCACTGCTGAACATAGGCCTCCCCCAAAGAATGCCACAAAGCACGGTCCTGAGCCACCTGCATCCATCGACTTCCTGCATGTCTTACCAGGTCGTCACTCCATCTCGTGGGGGGACGCCTTCCACTTCGCCTACCGGTACGAGGCTGCCACTCGAGAACCTTTCTTCCCCATCGGTTGTCGGTTCTTCGAGCTATATGGCCGGCCCACTGCCACTTCAGCTTACGAATCCGTTGGGCTTTGTCGGTTATTCTGGTTCTACTGCGGATACCCTCATTCCTAAGTTTATCACGCAGAGAAACTCCGAGCATAGCCCTCTCCATAGCTCGCTGAGCGACCTTGAGCTTCCTCATACGGCCAGCAGTGAAGAACCACGTCTCAGTTCCGTAAGTCATCACTGGCAACACGCAATGGTTGTACAATTTCGTTTTCAGGTTTTGAGGTATGTCTGACGAGAAGATGTGTGAAAGTGAGTGATGTACTCGCCATTGATGTTGATACCTTATCCTTTCCAGTCCAGAAGCTTGAAAACGTCTTCCAATGCAGCGGTGAAGAGTTTCGGGGATATGACGTCACCCTGTCTTACACCTCTCTGCAATTGGATAGGTTTCGTACTCTGGTTCTGTACTCGGATAGCCATCGAAGCCCTACTGTACAAGCACTTCAACACTTCGATATACCGACAGTCAACTTGGCACCGCTGAAGGGACTGCAGCACCGCCCAAATTTCGACGGAATCAAAGGCTTTCTCATAGTCCACATACGCCAGACATAGTGACAAATTGTACTCTTCGGACTTCTGTACAATTTGCCGAAGGGTATGTATGTGGTCTATTGTGCTAAAGCCCTTTCGGAAACCGGCTTGTTCGGGAGGCTGGAAGTCGTGAAGTCTGCGCGCGAGACGATTCGTAATGACTCTCGAAAACAGCACGTAGACGCGGCTCAGAAGGGAAATCGGTCTGTAGTTCTTCAAGAGAGCGTTGTCACCTTTCTTGAAGAACAAGACCACCGCACTTCTGCTCCACGCCTCCGGTGTAATGCCACCATGGAGGACGGAATTAAAGAGCTTCTGAAGGACTTCAAGTACCGGTCTTCCACCCGCTTTCAGAAGCTCCGCTGTAATTCCATCCTCGCCTGGGGCCTTACCGTTTTTAAGGTGCTGGAGAGCCATTCTATTCTCGCTCAGACTGACGTCCGGAATATCTTCGGAATAGTGTCGGATGAGACTCGCTTTTGGATCGTTACTCACACTTG